GAGTAAGGAAGATGATCATTCAAAATGTGCTGTCTCCATTGCTCCGACGTCAACTTGGCTAACATTTGTTCTTTCCTTCCGTGCTCTCCGCCCTGGTCCTTCTCCAACTCCAGGAGGATGCCCTTGATGACTTCCGTCTTGAAGGCCTCAGGCCAGGCTGCCCACGAACGACTACTGGCTGCCGTTCTTTCTCCCAAGCTGCCAGCCACATCAGGCAGATCATGATCACGACGACGATCCGAAAGGCCTTCAAGGTGATGCAAATAGCGTATGTTTGTTCCCAAGGTCGTAGGTTTTCGCCGGGCATGACCCAGTGCACCCAGATCCAGGCGAATTTCTTTAATCATGTACTTCTCGATGAAGGACCTCCACTCCGGCCATGCAAAGAAAGAGGGATAGTCCACTGGATCACCGGAGCTCTTGTACTCCTGGGGGTCCCGGGGCTGCTCCTTCCTTCAAGAACATCACTGGGCGAGATCTTGCCGCCGCTGCCAAGGAGTAAAGCCAGATTTGCCTCATCCAAAGCACTGCATCATTGAAAGCCAACTCTCTCAAAGCATCCGAAAGATCCTCCAAAGCAAACCGCTGTGGTCCATTTCTCGATCTCAGAGGAGGTGGTCCCGGCTGACGAAACCTAAGCTTCGAGACCGTTCTGCAAGGAGGTCCTCCCAGGACAGCATCAACCGTGCCCTTTTCACACAGCTCCGCCAGGAAGCTCACCAGCTGATCTGACAAGAGGTCTTGAGCGGGATCAATCATCTTGTCCAAACACAGCACCGACCTTGATGAGGTTTCCAGGCGCTTCTTCCACCATGAGGCATTTGGGCCCGAGAAGAGGTGCAAGATCACCGACTCACTGTCCATGATACGCTTTCGCTGGTGCCGGTTTAGGGGTACTTGTTCTCCCGTCCATCTTCCGGAGGGAACCACCCTCGCCAAAAGGTCATCAGGAACTTCCGGCCACAACTTCCTCAATTCAGTGAGCCACCTCCAGATGTTTGGTGAAAGGTCTCCAGGTTCTCCAGCTCTCAACGCTCTCACCCTCCGGTTCATCTCGATCTCCTGATCTTCCAACTCCTTGATCAAGCCGCGAGCTACCCCGGACAGCCAGCCTCCAAACGAACCTCCACCTTGGCACCCTTGGGATCAAGCATCTCAAACTCTTCTCCCTCCCAGCTGACCTTGTAGCCCAGTTTCACCACCTTGCCTAAGGGGATGATAAGCTGCGTGTCAAAGTCAGTCACCAACGTGCCAGTGGCCTGTACCTGTCGAAGTGTGGCTACCCCTGCAGCCAGCTCGACCTTTATTGGCACTGCTTGATCAAACTCTGCCTTGGACTTCGCAGGCCGCAAAATGTGAGTCGCCCCGCCATCCAGCAATGCTCTGAGGTGTCCATCACCCTGGTTCACGGCGCAGATTGCCACAGCTTTGACCGAAGGTCTCAAAGACTTCAGAAGTTGCACCGCCTCCTTGACAAGTGCTTCAGCCGGTGGAGCTTCTGGATCAGCAGGAGGTAGAAACAAGCTCTCCCCAGACGAAGACTGACCATTTTTCTCCCCGGACTTCACTTCGTGCTCTTTGCCCTTTCGATCATCAACAATCCCCCTTTTCACATGCGGCTGTTCCTTGACAGGGCAATCCGGCTTCATATGTCGTGTAGAGCCACAGTTCCAGCATCGGCCCTGCTTCGACACGCCCCTCCACTCATGAGGAAAAGTGCATGTCTGGCCCTTCTTGCAACCCGAATCTGAGAGGAAGTAACGGCAAACAGGTTTGTCGGACGAGTAGGATTTGTCATCGCCCTTCCCACCACCATTCTTGCCAGATTTCCCCTCCTTCCCATCACGGGTCTCCTTTGTCTCACTGCTTTCCTTGGTCTTGTCCTTCTTGTCCTTCTTTCCCGCATCCTCCTTGGTTGCAGGTCCATCACCATCCAAAGCTTTCACCTTCACGGTTTCCTTGATTGGCAAGCTGGATCCTCCATGAAAAACCGCCTCACCTTCTGCCAACAAGGACTCTGAGAATTGTTGAATGCTTTGCTCTGTGGGAGCCGTGTCCACCCTCAATGCAGCACGAGTGACTTGCAGTCTGAAAGCGACCTGAGGTGAGTGCTTAGCCAGCCCTGCTGCAAACCTATCCATAGTCGACAACAAAAGGACTGGATCAGGCGGTTGAATGCCAAGTTCTTGAACTCTTGTCAGCCAGCGCCGCCAGGAACGCAATGCCACCATCCATTCACTCAAAGGAACCGGGATCTTCTGATCGACAAGCTGCTTGAGAAGCGTGGTGCGTTCTCCAAGGCCCCCAGGTTGATAGACGCGAAGCACCTTGAACATAATGCCAATGGAGCTCACTTCCCTCTGCGCCACCAACTCCGATCTCAATGACTCAGGGAGGGCCTTGAGCAAAGCAACCGACCCCCTCTGCTCAATTCTCAGCCAGGGAGCCACCTGGAAAGCCGGAGGGGAAACAGGTGCCAAACGAAGACGTTCCATAGGTTCTGACCCCAACCACACTCTGTAAAGAGTTCCGGCGACCCTCAACACCTCATCCCACCACAATGATGAGCTCGAGCTCATGTCTCTCAAGAAGGGTCCAATTGTGGTCATCCAATCACCAGCTACCAAAGGCCCCACCTCCGACTCCGACAGCTCTGGTAACAAGGGTAGGTCAACTGCCCGAACTGACTCTTGCTGAGCCATGAGACCACCAAGCCACGCCGGCATCTGTCCAAATGGAAAGGCTGCAGCACCACCACCAGGGCCGCCAGGATAACCTCCTCCAGGAGGTCCACCAGGAAATCCACCTCCTCCTGGCGCTCCACCTCCCGGAAACCCTCCACCTGGAAATCCACCGCCAGGCGCACCCCCAGGAAGACCTCCACCCGGCACTCCTCCTGGAAAACCGCCGCCAGGAAAACCACCACCAGGAAGACCTCCTCCAGGCAAGCCCCCACCATGATGGCCATCACCAGGAAGACCGCCACCACCAGGTGCACCACCATTCCACTGCCCACCGGCACCACCGGGGAAACCACTCCCTCCAGGCACACCCTGAAGTTGGCACCCTCCTGGAAGATTAGCACTTCCGGGACTGTTAGCACCCCCTCCATGACCGTGAGGATCACCGCGTGATACACATGCACCTCCATCAACTCCACCTTCCCCTTCACCATTGGTCTGCCCAGCTGGTTGTTCCCGTGCTTCTCTAGGTTCACGAGGGAGAGAATCCTGACCTCCCGTGCCAGGTCCCACGCCACCAGTCTCTCTTGCCCCTGAGTGACCCGAAGGTTGCCTTCCTTCCCTCGAGCTTCCCGGAGCCGCATTGTTCCACCCCCCTGGTGAAGGACGTGACATAGTACATGCACCACCCGACACCATGTTGAACAACTCCATCAAGCTACCTCTTGAAAAAGCACCCTGACCACTCTGAGCTCCTTGACCAAGTTGGGAAAAAGGAAAACTTGCCCCACGATCGACCGGTGGAGCCAAGGCACCAAGCAAACCAGACTCTTTGTGAGGTGACATGGCATTCAACGACGACTTCAACACGTCGATCACCGCTCCCATGGGATTTCGCTCATAACCTTGACCCTCTCCAGCCATCCCGCCAAGCCACGGTTGCGAAGCTCCATACATAGGAGGTTGGGGAAGCCAAGATGCTTGGCTCATCGCAAACGCCTCTCGCTCTGACCAAAGGCGTGCATTTTCTTGCATCAGTCCTTGAACCATGGCTTTCACAGCTTCCTGCTGCGGGTCTCTCGGTGGGCTTGACGAGGCCGCCATCTGTGGGAAACCCTCTGTCCCTTCCCGGGGCAAATGAGCAGGTCTACATGCTCGAAGGATTGCTTCCTCCCGTGCAGATTCACTCCAAAACGGGTTGACATTCGGGCCATATGCTATAGGTGGCCCCACAGGACCAACCAGTGCTCCATGCTCCGGCTGGATATCCTCAAGAGCCTTGGGCCCTGAGGAGTCAGGCGTCTTCTCGCTAGGATCCGACATCGCGTCAGTGGAAAAAACGCGTCACTTTGGGCTCATAACCCACAGTGAACGAAATCCGTTTCGCTCCTTTTTCTTTTGAACTCAAAAAAAAGGGCTCACGATCATCGAAGTTCATCGATCATGCCTCTACACATCAACTCATCACACGAGAGGGTTCTTTGCTACCATATATTACCAGACTGGTGGTTTTTCACTCCACAAAACCAAGATGATTCCAAGGAGTGTACCATGTCAATGACCCCACGAACATGACCCATGCCACGTGGTCTGAGCTCCCAGCGCGGTGTCCACGGCGCCCTCCCTCGCGTCTTCACCACCGAGGCCATCTCGCACATGCCACTGGGCACTGCGGGGGTCGTTGGAGGAGGAGCTCCCGGAGGAGGAGCTCCCGGATGTTCGGCGCGAACGATCCAATAGGTTTGAAGTCATCACGGACAGTTTGAAGTGAACCACTGGTGACCAGTCACTGGTGTTTGTAGAGGAACATGATTGATCCATTGGACGCTTTGACATGAGTTTACTGTCCTTTTCCCATGTGTCAGCTTCTCCAAAGCGACTTCTTTCTTCAAGAGACTGAACAGCTTTGATGAGTTTTGGACACGTGCCGCATGGGCACATTGCATATGAATTTAAGATAGGTCTTGGTCTTGGTTGGTGGGCCCACATTGGAGTGCCTGACTCTCTTCGTTGACGTCCACCAATCACCCAAGGATCGAACCCCCCGGCGGAATTGCTCCGGACTCGGTGCGACCGGAGCGACCACTTCTTCGGAACGTGAGTTGCTCACCCTTAGAAACTGGGTTTTTGTGAATGGTTTGTGACCCATAAATACACCCGGCAGTTTTTTTATTGACCAATAAATACACCCATAAATACACCAATGGTTTGACTGTCACTGACCAGGCCTTTTTTCTTTTCGGTTTTTCAGTGATCGAAGCAATCAGGGGATCAAGGGACCTGAAAAAACACGAATGGAAGAAGCAGACGTTTCCTGAGGCTGCGGCACTACGACATCGACGCTGGGAGAAACGATCGCGGAACGCGTTTTTCCCGCGGAGCTCGGAGCCCGTCGAACGGTGCGGCGGGGCGTGAAGCCGCTCGTTTTTCGCGTTCGTGCGAGGTGAAGGACCAAAAAGCCAAGAGAGAACTGAGAAAAGGACACGGTTTTTGGACTACCACACAGGACACCATTAAGAAGTTCTGACGAGGGACACTAAAGCCATCAAAAGCCAAGAGTTTCTGAAGAGGAGAAGGGACACCAAAGTTAGGAAGTGTTTGACGAGGTCATCATCAATACGCCTCTACACCAGTGCCTCTACGCTATAGCTGGGAAAACCAATTGATTATTCCCCAGACGCTCCATGGGACTGCCATATATGCCAATTAATTGACCCCCCAAACCACCACCCCAATGTAAGCATATATATTATGGCAGTCTTATGGAGTGTCTGGGATTGATTGTTATTTGTGGATATTTGGAACATGGTCCTCCCGAACTTGGGGCCATCCGCACGATGAACGACAAGAAAGAGTGTCACTGATGAACATCAGCGCCTGGGAATTTGCTATTGCCACCCCTGCTAGTCCAACAACCCAGAAATCTGGGGACCCCCCCCTGCAGTGTGGAGAAGTGGTTCCACGAAAGGGGGAGCTCTCGAGTTGGATCCCCTTCAGACGGAGGGTGACCTTCGCAAACTGGTGACCTTCACGATCGAGATAGTTGGAAAGATGGACCTTTTCTGACCCATCCCATGACCCATGACCCATGATCCGATCAAAAAAAGCACGTAAATCGGTACAGATCATCTTCTGCCCATGGTCCGGCACGAACTGAGACTGGACTCACGGTCATAGGCGACGCACGAACCGAGACCTCCAAGCCGGATCCAAAGTGGGATAGGACAAGGGGTCAGGTCATCCTCAAACAGAATGTGGGACGATCATGGATGATGCTTCACATGAAAAACAACACCTTTTTGCTCCATTTTTGGATGCTGAAAGGGACGCAGGCAGGTTCTTTACCTCCACTTCAACAAAATCAACGGAAGAATTGACCTAGTGAAGACTCTGCTGAGCAGAAGAAAAGTGGACTTTGACTTTGGGAGTGTCCTACTACCTGTAACAGGCAATAAATTAATTATCATTGTTTCAGCAAGGCCTGCACCTGAACCATCATCACCCACTGTGACAGGGAATAGGATACAGTTGACAGTTGACTTCTGTTGATCCCATGCCATCTTCCCATCCATCGATGCCGAAGACGCGCTGAGGACTGCATCGATGGTGTGCCTTCGCCCACCATTGCTCAAGATGGCATGGTCATTGCGCCGACGCAGCCCTCAAGAGTGTCGTACAAGCGCAAGAGTTCGGTCAAGAAATGACATCAACATCGTTCTGTCTCTTGATGTGTTGAGCTGCTGACCGGCCACGCACCGTTTTCCATCCCAAATTCGATCTGTGCAAGACTTTCAAAAAGGGAGCGTGACATGGGCTGCGCGAGCGGAGATGTGAGTGGACATGCGTCGACGACGATGGTGACGATATCTGTAATTCTTCGCAACACTTCCAGCTGTGTAGGGCGTCTGGGGTGAACCATCAACAACTCTTCCCTAGGGATCCAAGTACCTTCTCAGAAAGGATGACCCTGTCAATACTAGGCCTGGGGACAACATTGTCGTAGCTGGTTGTAAAGGGAGCAGGCCGTTTTGCGAATGGATCTTCCATCAACAGCCCTACGCAAGATCCAGAGATCTTGTTGATCAAGATGACTTTGAGACACATAGACTGATCTTTGGATCTGTGGTTTCTGCGGCTTGAACTTGACTGTGTGACAGGGATGTTCTCCATGTAGTACAGATTGTTCTAGAAGAGGGGCTTGGGGTCGTGTGCGCATCGGGTCGAGCAGAGAGAGAAGATGTTTGGATTTGAGAGCACTGTCCCCTAGTGCTCCAAGGAAGTCCAAGTACCCTCTGAGAAGGTGAGACTGGGGGAGGCTGCCAGGAGGGTCCTGTCATATCTTTTGAGGATTTTCTGCTCGTAGTCAACTGATATGGATGTCACATATCACGTATACGTGCCGACAGTAAATAGCTTTGAACATACGCTGCAGGTGCATCGTGTTCTTGTAAAGGTTACTATACCTAGTATTGCATGCATAGTACATTCCACGTCTTGGATGCGTACATCCGTGTCATGGGGGACTGGTTCCAAATATCATTGCTTTAAGCCTCATTCCGTCTCATTCTCTTTAGACAAGGACAAGCACGATGAACATCGCGTTTTTGTTGCTTCCTCACTTTCTCCTGGTGCTTTGGATCACTCCAGACGTAGCTGGTCTATTTCCACCAAGTCCAGCTCAGCATCACCAACGTCACACAGAGCAGCTGATGCAGCTTCGATGGCGATTCCAGCAAGGCACTAGGCAATCTGCAAGGCACTTGGGGCAGTGAGGAAGTGTGTTTGTTTTTTTGTTCCACTGTTTTATCACGGTTTGTTGGAGTAGTCCAAACATATCCAAAATGTGTCTAAGCCGACGCTTAGACACACACAAAGGGCCAGGGATACTCACATCCCTAGTTACATGGGCAAAGCGGAAAAAAACAACCTTCAGGTGATTTGGGCTGCTCGACTCGCCCCGGGGCGACTGGGTGTTTGTTTGGACGAAATCCGGTGAAACTCGTCCACAGGAATGCAGACACTTCGCTCGAAATGTTCAGAACTACAAGCATCCTGGAGTTGATAGAAGATGAACCTGACCTGTCCTGTCATATTTTTGGATTGTCTCGCATATATGTTCCCTGCTCCCAGGAATGACGTCCAGCAGAAGAAAAACCATCCTTACGGATCCGAGCACGTCCCCCCGAAATCGGAGATGGCCATTTCACGACCCAACATATCCATCATCATTCTACCAGGACCCTCCAGTCGGGGTGCCCTGTCTGGAAGCCTATATAGGATTATATAGGTAGTGTGGGGTAGTCCAGCCAGGACACCCGACAGGAGGGTCCAGGTAGAGGATCGTCCTTCGGTGAGGGTTGTCCACCATTTTCAGGTCACCTTCAGGTGGCGTAAACGCACGTCCGACAACGCCCACGATTGAAGCAGGTGCCCGATTTGGCGAAGCTGGTGCCATATGTGGGAGTTTCATAGTGGTAAGATGTGGTACGTGGTAGTTTCATGTTGTTTTCTTTTCTTGTTTTAAGGATAGATCACCTGTTCAAAGCTTATTTTGGGGGAGGAGGATTGCTCTCCTGGTCAACTCATTTTCCGATGGATATACACCTTCATGTTCCAGTTCCACCGGCAGTTTTTTTTTTGGAACCCAAACCCATCGGTCCTGCCGCCCTAAACACCGGAAACGCACGCCCGTGCCGCGCGAGCCCACGCACCGCGGCGCAGGGAGCGATGTTCCTGTCGCGGCGGCTCTTGGGGCCCCCGAAGAGCCCCAGGCACCGGGACCCCCGGGCATGGGCCGCAGTTCGCAGCGGGGCGGCGGTTTGGGCCGCAGCCGGGTGGGCGGCGCTTGGATTTTTGGGGGCAGCGGAAATGTGCCGTGCTGATAAGGTGGATGTTCGTGGGGTCTTAGCTGGTCTTGAAAAAGCACAGTAGATGGGACAATGCCCAACATGGTCCAATATGTACGTTTATTTGGATCCCATCTCGAAGACATTTTTGGGGTGCCATCTGCTCTGAAAACACTACACTTTTGTATGTAATTGTTTAGTTCGTTGGAGTCCAGAAGGTTGGAGCCTTGGCAAAGTGGGAGGGTGCTGAACTGACCTTGTAGCTTGGAGAGATGGAAGAAAAGCAAGGGCTTTGGGCCTGGGTAGGTGGTCAATGTCTCAAAAAGTCAAGTGACTCACACACCCCTGAGCTTTGACCTTGGGACCTTTTCTTCAAAACCAAGTGAATTGTCTCCTGTCAGATCTGCAAGAAGCTGCTTGTCAACCCTACAACGAGAAATCTGTGTACAGTCTCTCAATTCTACATGTTACATATGGGATCGTATTCTTTTTGCAGTTCATGTGCTTTTTGGTCGTTGCTCTGCGGATTCCACTGGCCCACCGGACAAATGGAGGATGGCACTCTTGGAGATGCTGCTTGATGCTCCCTAGATGTCAGCTAAGGCTGCGTCCTTGCGAGTGAATCACGAGCACACCGCCCGCCCAAGGGGGTCCTATGGCCCCCCGTTCAGGGATCTGTCCACCAGGTGGATTGTCTCAGTGCTGTTTGCATGGAAAGACGCGCACTGGTCGTCGCTAGGAACGTCTTCTTCCCATGGTTCAACTTCATCATGGCGAAGGCTGGCGGGGTCAATGGTCAGAAGGCAATGTCCTTAGACGTTCCACAACGGGGAAAACTGTTCCTTCCATTCCATTTTCACGGAACTTCATGGTACAAATCTGTTTTTCTTTGAGTGTACTGACAGGAACTTGCTGTCTTTGCTCAGCTTTGAGGTAGATTAAAAGTAGTGTGGTGGAAGAAGAGCGAAGAGATCCAGTCATATCACAGATGTGGAAGCTCTAAGCCCACCCAGATCATCCCACATCTCTCAAAATCCAAATCTTCAGTTTTTCTCCAAACAGTGTGGTCACACTAGGAGTTCTTACGGTAATAGTTAAGGGCCGGTGTCTAATCGAGGTGTCGCGCTTTTTTGTTTGTTCATGCCTCTCGAAATCCTCGAAGTGCATTTCGACTGCGCAGGCTCGCAAAATCTGGGTGTCCGTGGCGGGTGCTTGTCGCCACTGCCCTCTCGTTGTGGTGCCGTGCGCATTTTTGGGCAAGGTAGTCACTTTTCGTCGCAGACGCAAGGGAAACCTTGTGTTTTGGGGGTCCACATTCGACTTTTCGTGACATGTGCAAGGGATCGGAGCGGTGTTACTTCGAAGTGCAGACTTCGTGGCAGGCGCATCGTTTTGGATATGGTGGTGATCTTCGACGCGCTCTCAGTTCGTGACCGGTACAGTGAACCGTGACTTTTTACATGTGGCTCGTTTTCAGCCTCTCCTGTCCGCGCTCCTCGGCGCTCTCTCCGCGGAGCCGACCAGACCGGCACCTACTTGGAGCCGAACCGCGCAGCCTTCCGGGTCCCCGTGCGGAGACCTGACCCAGACGCGGGAGACCTGCGGAGACCGGCAGAGACCTGCAGTCTGCAGCTGGCGGTCAGACTGAAGGTCAGACTGGACCTGTTTTAATTTCATGCTCGTCATAGGTGAACAAACACGGGGCGTAAAAGAATTGGTGGTTCGATTCACGACCGATGGGCGTTTTTGTTGTGCAAGAGGGGTTGAATCTCAAGTTGATTCTAGGAAATGATGATGAGGATTCATAGCAGGCCGTTTCCAAGTAGCAGAAATGCTCTACTTGAATCAATGGGCACGGGCATAGTCCAGCTTCTTCAAAGGGACCGTTTTTGGAGTCCCTACGTGTGTTGTTTGGATTCTTTTGGAGTCTTTCGGAGTGGACATCGATTCGGAGGCTGTAGGCACGACCCAGACCTGCCGTGAGTGACGGCCAGGTGTTTTTTTCCCAAGACGTCGACTTGTCTGTTTTCATCAAGAACGTTTAATTGGATTACAATGTAACGTGAGGATGGAAAGGACGCATCAGAAAGTAGGACACTCCGTATGCACTCTGAGAGCGAACTGGGAAGAGACTAGTGACTAAGGAGGTTGCTGACTTTGATCAAGTCAACATAGAGTCGTGTGTCATGCAGAGGATTCATGTTAGATTGCCGGGTTAACTGTTGTTCCAGATGGAAGGTATCCAGTATGATCCAGTCTTGGCACTCTCAGTGGTCAAAGCAGGTGCACTCTTACCCTTTAACACTCCTCGGAGGTTTCAACAGTGTGGGCCTTCACAGAGCAGTACAGAGGGTTCCCTTGGGTACCATCTCCCCATGTGCGAGAGATCATACCAAAAAAGAAGACGAATGAACACAGATTCATACTAAACTACAAGTGGACACCCATATGATCCCCCACAAATTCGCAGAAATTTCTGGAAACGAGACCTGTTGGACGGCTCGAGTCACAGATGGCTTCTATTTTCTCGTGTCCGTCGACGGTCGAGGTGCATTTGACCAAGCCGGAGATCCAGAATTACTTGCGCGAGGCGCCGCTGAAGCGAAATACAAGGGAAGCCATGACTGGTGGTGGCATGACGGGCATCAACGCCTAGTTCTGTGTGTTGTACTGTTTAGGTTTGACCCACATTAGAGCCGTGAAGAGCCATATAGATCGATATAGTATATTGGTCCGTATTGGTCCTATTTGTTTGTTCACAGCTGCGGGTATAACCCCAAGACTGACCCGCAAGACGAGGCAGTTGAACATGTTCCCTTCCATCGGGCGTTTCATCGGGCATGTTCGCTCCCATCCTTCTCCGCCTGCCTTCAGTGGCCTTGGATCGTTTGGATTCACACCATCCGCCCGGGCCTTTTACTATTTGTTGGTTGATTGAGAGATCGAGGGGATACCCGCGGGACCTCGTGCACAACCAATATGTAAATGGTACAAACTGACCATAACTGTCAGTATAACTGACCCCTCCATTCTTCCCAAGTACGGACATCACTGCACCCGCCCTGTAGACCACCAAGACCACCAAGACCAAGTCACTCAGACAACGGCGACGCTGCTTTGGTCCGCTTGCTCCCGATCCGCGTCGTCGTCCTCGATCTGCCAGATTTACAAGGCGAAAGTCATCAAGGCCGGAATTTGCGAGACCACGACCAGTCTGAATTTAATTTCTAGACCATTATAGACCATTATAGGATCCTTTTCTAGATCATTAGACCATTAGATCCTCTGGATTTCTAGACCAAAATTTAGACCTCTAGATCTATAGAGGCTGGCTAGCTCCTTTTGGATCTCACGAAAGGAGGGGGGATTTGGTCCGGACCCCCCAAGTCTCAACACCACCGTCGGTCCGGTCGACCCGTCGATCCTGAAAGCCGCCGTGTTTCTGGATGTTTCTGGTATATGATCCAACTGCTTTCTCCAACTCCAACTCCAGTGAAACCAGTAGTGTTTCGAAGACGCAGTGTTTCTGGTATCTGGACCAACTCCAGTGAAATGCGATCCAACTGACCTGCAAGCGATTCCGAAAGAAAACTGCCATGGTCGTTCTATGGGAAGCCATCCACGAAGAGTTTGGACCCTGAGTTGCTAGTTATCCCTTGCGCTAGTTGCCCAACACACACATGTTACCCGGCCTCAGGGGGCCGTGGAAGACGGAAAGTTATAGAACCCTAGGGCTCCAACCACCTCCTGAGAAGATGGTTGGGGTGGGGGCCAGGAGGGTCTAACCACCCAACCTGAGGATCTGGGGCGTTCGGAGTCCTAGGCGATTGGGAATCCCTGCGGCATTGGAATTCCTTGCGACTCCGTGCGATCCCTTGAGAACACATGACCAGACCGGTGAAAAACGGCGGATCAACCTGAAACGCCTTGAGAACGCCGTGGGGGCCGGGTCGTTTCTTCTTTTACCAGAACGGCCGCCAACCTCGAGCAGAATCCTTGGACGCTGCAGTTCGCAGGAAACGCGGGACCTTCTCCACCGAAACGCAGTCTGAGGGAAAACCATGGAAAACCACCCGAGTCCTGGCATGTCCATGCAACACAAGTGTTCCTTGCCTTATGATGGAGTCATTGTCCAAGTGTTCCAAGTGTTCCTTATGGAATCCATGTCCATGCAACACGTTGGTGCAGTGGATCTTGCCGATATGTTTCTTGCGCGCAACATGTATCCCAAGTGTTCCTCAAGCACGTACTTCAAGACTTTGGGTGTTGGAAGTGCTTTGTGATGGGGCACAGTGGCTCGCCTGGGATTCCTTGGGCCCCTTCTTGGATCTGGGGCCCCCTGCTCTTGGCAACACAATAGTTGTTTGGAAGTGGCAGTCTCCAGTGTGCATCTATGTTGCTTTACAAGGCTATAGGTTTCTCGGTCAAACGGCTTTGCGATGAGTTAATGAGTTTGTCCAATTCAATCCATTCTCTAGATACCTACCAAGACCATGTAATGGGTGTCCAAGGCAATACCCTTCACTTCTAAGGGTCCCCCAGCCAGGACACCCAGACAGGATGGTCCAGGTATAGGCTTTGCCATGTGGTGCAGCAGTACCTGTCAATGTTTGTTTGTGCAACTTTGGTACTGCTACAGCCCATCGGGGCAACCGTTCTTTCGTTCCCTTGGGTGAAGGAATCTTGGAATGTCTGGGGGTAGGTCGAACTTTTGAAGAGACATCCATGGTGCCAATTGTTCCGTTCATTCACTTGGAAGAACAAATTGAGAGAGGTGAATACCTACATCAAGCTTCCCATGATCCGGCGGAACTCCTTCGGGGACTACTATAAGAATGGCACCTCCTACAAGATGCTTGGCGACTTCCGGGAGCGGAGACCTGAACCGGTTGGTGGGAGAAGCACGGATGGAGGGTCCTATACTCAGTATGCCAACAAGACAGTTTCTCCGGAAAGTCTCTGTTTTTCTGTTTGATGGTTCTCTGATTGAAGAGGCACAGTTTGTGTTCTGTCTTTTTCTTTAAAATTGCTTAACCGACTCACTATAGTGACCCTTATCTTTGGTGATGCCAAGGAAGTATACCCTTTGACATTCTTTGGGAGTGACCGTCACATGGGGTGGCGAGGGGGTCGGAGACGTTTGAGGAAGTGCCTCCCCCGACAGTACAAAACGTATTGCACTGCTGAAGTTGCGCTTGGGCTTCTTTTACAAGTACTGTGCCAAGATATTGAAACGACCTAAACATCCCTAAATGACTTTCAGGAAATTGTTTCACACAAGACATCATAACTTCATAACCCTCGGACAAATGAAAGGATCTCTTTAATACGCCTAGGAATGCACATCAAAGACAGTTTGTCCCTGAATACTGCAATGTTGAGTTGGGATTCACTCTATGCAACGTCGAGAAGACGGACTTGAAAACCTAAAGACTGGTTGGCTGGTTCAAATCCAGATCCCGTACACATGACAATACACTGAACGGTTTCAGAGTAGATGGCGCGTATTGTGTAATAGTTATTTTTTTTTCAGACACCGTTAAAAGAGCAACTGTTTCCCTAGGTTTTTGTTCGACAATTTAGTTTAAGAATTGGGCTTACCTAGTGTCATAGTGTAAGATCCTTTAGTGAAACAATGGTCAATGGTTGATCGGGATTCAGGGTAGTAAATCAACGGTGGGCCAGGAAGTCTAGGGTTTTGGTTTGGATAAATCACTGTAAATGCCACTCACGCGCACCAGAGAAGCCAAAAATGCCAGCAGTCTTGCAGAACCGAAGAATCTTGTGGAGTTGGATGGAATTTGCTGCCCGAAACAATGTGATGCTTACGGCGGATTTCTGGCGATGGATGGTTTCAACCGTGGAAATCCACGTGGTCTTCCTATCGCCCTCAGGAAGGCCATCGTGACCTTCGAGGTGCCTTTGCATTCGACCGACCGACCGCGGCGCCGGGCACGTGGGTCCGTGGGCAGCGACCGGGCGACGCGACCGGGTGACGCTCATGTCGACCGGGTGACGAGGTGGAGCAAGAAGATGTTGCTGAATCTGAACGTGAAGAAACTGCCGGAAACGAGATCGCAATTCTGCTCGGTCAATGTGTCATGAGAATGTAACACGAGCCAATGAAATCAATATTTCAGATCTTAGTGCAACCGGCGGAATCTGTGTCCCGTGGTGGAATCTGGCTCTTTTCCATTCAGTATGATTGAGTCAGTGCGGGGGTCCAAAGGGCCCAAAAGGGAAGTCCTTGTCTTATGAAGTCGTTCACCTTGGAGTTCGACCTCCTGTCATAGAAGTTCGGTTTATCCCCACGTAGAACATGTAGACGGGCAATGGTACAATCCTGTTTGGGGACCAAAGCTACCACTGGGGGCATTGGTTTCCCCAAAATCCGACAGGTCACGAAAGCTAGCCTTAGCTAGCTGGAGTTGCTCTTGCTTTAGCAAGTTAAGTGACGGGGTGGACGCACCTCAGAAACCTCAAATAATTGATTAAATCAATCTTATGGACCTCCCCCCCCCCGCGGTTCGACTCCCCCTCGCGCGCGGTGAGCGGGACCACCAAGCAGCTGCAGCACACCAAGCATCTGCAGCGCCCAGCGCAGCAGCGGCAGCAGCAGCAGCACCAGCAGCAGCAGACCACCCAGCGGCGGCAGCAGCAGCAGCAGCATACCCAACGCCGCGGCAGCAGCAGCCGCAGCAGACCACCCAGCGCCAGCAGCAGCAGCAGCAGCAGACGACCCGGCGCCTGCAGAGCACCCAGCGCAGCAGCGCCCAGCGCAGCAGCGGCAGCAGCAGCACCAGCAGCAGCAGCACCAGCAGCAGACCACCGGAAGCCCGGCTAGCTTTCGTTCACCCCCTCTGGCCTCAAGTAGTCTTCAAGGGCAACCAAGCTTACTTAAGTGGCATATTGGAACTACGCATTTGGCGGTACTCTTTTGCAACCCATCGCATCCGTTTCTGAGACTTACCTAAGAAGACATCATGGACACAAAAAAAGACATCCATGATCTTATTTTTTTGGCAACTTGCTGCAGGATGGGGGACTCGAAAAGTTCATCACGGTTCACGTCAATCCGTGATTCAGTGATAGTGACTGGCCAGTGCTTGGCTTGTGACCAAGCCCCTGATCGATTGGTATGCCAGGGTATCACCTGCGTGAGGACTCGCTGCAACAGATCGTGACATCTGTGCCACCAAGGCGTTAAGCTGATTTAAGCCCGCCGCTTTTGACACAACTTTCGAAGCCCAGCTTGGGAACCCCAAAGCGGCCTGGAAAACAACGACGTCCTCTTTACTCTTTACACTTGTTACATAGTTACAGCATATTGGGGGTGTGGTGGCATGGGGCGGATCATTGGAATACTCAACCTTCAGGTGTTGCATGGAGTTGGGTGGTGTGGCTCGTCCCATCCAGGGGCCGTGGATCGTAGACACCCCTAACCTCCAAACAAGTACCCCTTTGAGACTGCTGGTTCAGATTTTTGGAACCCAATTCCCAGACACGACCTGTTTTGTTTGGGACTGGCAGTCCGGACCGCCGATCAAGCCAGGGGTGGTTGAAAAGGAGGTCAATGGATGTAAATATGCTAGTCCCAGGCAGGTCGTGTCTGGGTTTGGGTCCATGTTGACTGGTCGGGAACATGAATTTCACCATCCCTGCTAGGAGACCATCCCAGACGATGTGAAGATGGTCTACAATTCCAAGCGCCTTGCCGGGACGGACGTTTATTGTTTTCTTCGCCCAGTCGGTGAGGTCACACGGGCGGTCTAGTGCTCGCGATCGCTCACAGCGAATGCTGCGATCGCTGTGCGCTTGAGTCATTCTCCTGATAGAGAAGACCTTGCAAGTACATCTTAAGTTACATCTTAGGTTACGTAACTTAGATACGTATCTATACGTCTTAGATACGTCAAGACCCTCTTAAATCGAGACTTTGGGGCCTTTGGGTGCAACCAGACCGACCGGTTGACCGCCAGGTCCACCAGGCAGGGTTTGGAGCATTCCCTTCTCGGGCCGGCCCGACCACATGACCTTTGTTTTGATAGGAAAAGACCACGTTTTGGCTCCTTAACGGGGGTCCATCAGGTTCCTAGGATGTTCTATAGGTATAGATACAGTAGCTCCCGTCTTGCTGTTGCGAGGTCGCAAGCCGAAGAACGGGAGCGAGGGAAGCGAAGCGATACGGGAGCTACTGCTCGGTGTAGGGGGAGGGTATCCAATCCCATTCTTCCCCATGAAACAGGGAGCTCGAACTCGGATCCCTCCCAGGGAAGTGTGGGAAGTTCTCCAACCCCTTGCTAGTTGTTGATAAACGTTTAAAAAAGGACAAACTAAACAACTCTTTTCTTTAAGATATCACCAATTCTTTGCTGATTCGCGGTGTGTCTTCTGTTGAGGGCCAGCCTCAACAGGCTTGCAGTTCTGAACGGGTGTTGCTTGGAAGACCGGTTTCCTCCGTGACACGTTCGGAGCTGGAAAATGCCCATCCCGCCTATGTCTGTATTGGGAACGAAGGGTCCAGCCGGACACCCGGGGGGGTGCGCCCGCGTGCTCCTTGGGATCATTTCCAGAAGGTGGTTGACATATACTCGTACGTAGGCTTGTATTTACTTAGGGAGACCCCCCAATTGTTTTAAGTATTTAACTCGATCTATTTTATATAGGGAGTTGTTGCCTGGCAGGTTTCCCTATTTGAGCTACGCACTCAAACGAATCATGACGATCAATGGTTTAAGGGCCCATGGAGCTCCGTTGACCATTCCAAACAAGATTCCTGTCCTGTTGACTTGGAGTTCAACACATCCAAGGGAATCCAAGATGGATCGAGTGTCTAGAAACCGCTACCTCTACGTGTTGTTGGATCTGAAGCATTTTAGAATCATACATAATTTGAATCATTTACCTTGAACTGGACCCATAAAACAGAATATCCAGTGGTGTTGGCAGATGTTTCATGGAACACTCGCCCCATCTTTCACTGGTCAGCAACTGGTGGAGGTGTTTTTTCCTTCCACTTTTAGAACACGAAGCCAAGCAGTCATGCCTTGACTGAAAGATTATCACATTGATGTGAGATCAACAGTGGGATCAAACATGATCAACAGTGGGATCTCCTGGTATGTTTAGCAAGTGGCAAGATGTGGCAAGTCTCACACAACACCTGGAGCATGGCCGTGGGTCAAAACAACCTGGAGCGCGGCCGTGGGTCCATGCTGCGAATGACCATTCGGTAGGTCGTTCGCTGGTGTTGTTTCTTTTTAGCCATGATCCACAGCCAACAGGGTGAATGAGAAGAACTGATGTCGAGACCTTTCAAGAAGAACTGATGAGTAAGGTGAATGAAAAGCCTTCCTGCCCCAGGCAGCCCTGGATGAACCCGGCGCTCACGAAGTATGAGCCTTGCCTGGATGACCGGAGACGGGAACCGAGACAGGTCATCCATCAATATGAATAGGTGCAACAGTGAAACACGCTGGTTGAACGGGCGGTAGATTGGTCTATTTTCCGAAGTATATAAATATGTGATTGATAGATGCAACATTTTCCACTTTGCGACTTTTGTGGTGCCGCTCTCACGTTTTGGAAGGGATTCACTCTGAAGGAGGTTGCCATTGCCCATGGCAGTACGACTTGCTGAATATGCGTTTGAAGAACAACTTGCCGACGATACAGCTAAAACTGTTCTCTTGGATGAGGCCAAGGTGTTGCAAGCTTCACTTCAGTTTTGGGAGCTCCCGACACATCTCCAGAAAAAGACCGGTCGAAGTATGGTAGAATTGTCTACCGCGTCGAGTGCAGGACGAGGCTAATCCAACGTGTGTCCAAGGCTCATATATGCATGCCTTGCCTATGGAAGCCTTCCAGGCAACCTTTGTAACGCGGCAGATGCGGTAATGGCGTTCCCTAAGTCTTAAGTATAAGACCATGGATAGAATTGCCACCGGAACTGCACGTCCTCCGTGGGAAAGCATTCTGAACCGGTGTCCAGCCTAGGAACCGACACGCAGACGGTGGCATATGGTGTTCCCACAGTGAGCATAAGAAAATCCTTAAATCGACGCCACTAGTAGCTCCTGGCATTACTACTAGTAACAAGAAGCTATACTGGTAACAAGTAAGCAACCCAGTAGATTCTTGGCCTCCAACCTAATAGCGATGGCCTCCACCCTAGTAGCGTCCTTACTACTTACTAGTAGTAAGGCACCTTGTTACTAGTCCATGGGTGGTGAAGAGGTCACCAAGCATCCATACGCATCCAGGTAACTACCTGTTTGAAGATAGTTATCGCATGTGTCGATGACCAAAAACCCTGTCGCAGGTCCGGCAACATGTCGCAGGTCGCTGGCAACAAGCGACCTCAGTTCTCAACGTCGAGCCACCCGAACTCTGCATCTACCAGCAGCTTAATGGAGGTCAGGGGTGCCCATTATCCACTCACTTAAGGACTAAACACCACCCCTTTGTGACTGCTGGTATAGGATTTTAGGTCGTGACCATGTTTATTCCATCACGCCTGATTCCGGATTCACTGAAACCTCTGCAAAGCCACGGATGTGATGACGCGACCCGCTCTTCGACGTGAAAGACGGACCACGCAGCAGACAATGGACCTCTACAAATCTGTCGCAAAAGTCGATCAGATTAAGCCTGCCCAGACACCGGATTAGAGTGGATGGAAGATGACGGAAGCTTTGCCAAGGAAAACAAAGGAATCACCAGGAGAGCGCCGGAGCTCCCGCTTTGCATGCTCGATCCAAGCATGACTTCAGACGTGGCAGACGCGGCTCACGTCTTGCGCCGGACATGACTTCATGACTTCACCATCCTGAGGTGACACGAGAATGGTCGAGTCAGCTGGGTTCACGAGAAGCTCAGCTGATTCGCCTAATCCATCCTAATCTATAGAGACTAGGTTAGTGGATTAGGATTATATCCACCTAATCCACCTAATCCATCCACCGTAATCTGATTATATCTTCAACATTCTTTAGAGACTATAGGTTCGTCGCGACGTGTCAGGACAGTCACGACGACCTTGTTCGTCGATTTGGGCGGAGACCAACATGAGGAGGCTATCCACATCTGGAGGCTATCTCGTCCTCGGTGCACTTGCATGGATGTCCAAGAGGCAAACATCAACCTCGCGCCTTACCACAGAGTCGGAAGTTGTAAGCCTTGCCCACTCATTGTGCAGTACGTTAAACAATGGTTGATTGTGTACGCGCTTCCTCCAAACCCAGGCATGGACTTTCAAATGACTCCTGACAAACAGCCAGGGGGTGAAGGATGAGCGAAAAGGAGACACACATTCTACATTGAGCTACAGCTATTTGCTGTCACTCTCCACTTAGCTTCATCAATGCCTGCAACCCAGAATCTTCCGAGGTGCTAGCAACAAGGAGACCGCAGAGGAGTTAAGGAGGATTGCTGTGGTGGCCCACAGCTACCTGTTTGCAAAGATAAAGTTTTAATCAGAAGGTCATCCTGAGAGAGCTGCAACCGCAGCACTTCTTGAAGTACCTGGACCTGCTGGGAGAGCACATGCTGGGGCTCAAAAGAGTCCAAGAACGGCGACCCCTGGACTTCCCTTCGACCTGATGCTGGCATGTGAAGATCAGGAGGCAGATGGTCCGTGTGACCGAGGGGAAGCCGCTCGACGGCTCGCTCCGCGCCATGAGATGGGAAGAGGGTGGATAGAGGGCACCAGAGAGAGAGACGGGCACGCTTGAGGAGTCCACCATACAACTAGGGCGCCTGTAACGGCAATCGGATCGCTATGAAGAATGGGGCAAAGGAGGAGGTAAATCGAAGAAAGGAGGTGGAAAAGGAACAGGCAAAGGAAAGAAGGGGAAGCCCATGAACGACAGAACACCAGATGGGCGTCAGATATGTTGGCTGTGATACAGCCCCCGTGAGAGGTGCCGATTCCTCTTTTTTTTGACAATCAAACAAAGCAACGTTGAGAACCACACTCAACATCCCTCAACACTTGCAGCGTCATCGTAAAGCAAATTACGCAGGCTCAATAGTGACAAGAGACAGGCAACTGAGAGCGCCAGGAATAGGTTCCTTCCAACTCGGGATTCAGGTTTGCTGTATAAACTTTATCATCCATAAGACGCTCGTGGAACAATCGAAACAAGACCTACAACACCACTACACCTCCTGAGATGGAATATCCCTACTCCATCCTTACTTTCCCCTCTTGTCATGAGCTTCAATTGATAGTGTCTCCGGCTTCGAAGACCTCCCGTTTTTTCCGAACTTCCTCCAGCGCGCGCTCTCGCGCTCGCTACCCGCGCCGGCGCCTCGAGGACACGCCGAGTATCCGGCGATGGAAGCCCTTTCGCCCAGGCGGGAGCCGACGACGTGCTCCGCGAGGGGAGCGAGGGCCCAAGCAGAAATGAGGTGTTTTTCTGTTTCTGTATTATGGTTGTTCCAATTTGTGTGGATCATAAGTTGGTGTGCTATGTAGTCGATAACTATAGTCAAGAAAGGTAGTCTCAGCTACCTGAGTTGTCCTTGCTTTAGCAAATATGTATTAAGAGTTGGGATTGTGCATTGAGATTCTTCATCACAACCCTCCTACCCCCTGGATCAAATGCCTCTTGTGCCACTGCTGTTGCTGTTGCTCTTGCTCTTGCTGCTCAACCCTTTGCTCTTGCTTTTTCTTTTACTGCTGCTCTTGCTCTTGCTCTTTCTGCTGCTGCCAGCTGCTGCTCCTGCTCCTGCTGGTGCTGCTTGCTGCTTCTTTTGCTGCTGCTCCTGCTGCTACTGCTCATCCTGCTTGATGATGGATGCCAGCAGAGCCGAAACTATGGATGATGTCTGTCTGGTGTTGCATTTTTCACCAGATAGCTGCAAGCTATAGGGGCTCTCACTTCTCAATGGTGTGGCTTTGGATCGGCGTTTACGTTTTGCGGGTGCTGCCGTGCTGGTGCTGGTGCTGGCCCACTGGATCGGCGTATGGTTTTACTCTGCGGACGGAGCACATGGACCCCATGGACCACAGACGATTCTGATTCTCCTCTAACACCCATTAATGGTTTTCAGGGTCCAAGCGTCCAAGACACGCCTCTGGAGCACCCCCGTGTGGCCGTGTGGTATGGTTGAGTCGCCCCTTCACCCGATGATCTCGAACATTCAAAGAGGATCCCAGCTGCTTCAATCTACCTAAGCCGTGCTGGTGCTGGTGCTGGATCGGCGCTTCGTTTTGCCCGCGAAGTGCAGCACATCACGAAGGACCATGCTTGAGTACCTCTCTCTCGAGAGAGAGACTAGACACCGCCGCACTCATCAGGTCTATCTCTGAGAAGACTCTGGAGAAAACACACGTTGGACTCAGAACCAAGGAGAGTGAGCTCGCATAACTCCCAGACTTTACGGGATGCTTACACTTGAGCTCCGAACGTACTTCGTAGGCACTGAACGGAACATAGCCGACTCTGTCTTTCCGAATTCTAACTAATATGACGTCGTCGGAAGCCCAGGTTTCTAAGGCGCTTGATGACATTGGAAACGGCGGAGCAGCCAGCCGCTCTCGCAAGTGCTGCATCCCACTTAGACCACGTATTCAAACTCGATTTCTCCAAATGGAATCTCCGGCTCTCAATAGCCACAATGCGGGGCCTACGATGAGATGGCTTGACATGTTCTTTGGCCTGGAGGACGTTTACACGCTTACGCACATCTTCTTCGCGAGTCCTCGCTCTTTTACCCGTCGAGTCGACGTGACCCTGACTCAGGGCCTCAACAGCGAGACTAGGAAGACATTAGATGGCATGAGAACAGTCTACAAGTCCCACTATATGGTGGGGTGGAGGGACTTCGCGAGGTTGGACCACTGCGGCTATGTGACAAACATGCACAGGTGGAGTGCCTCACTCAACCTGCTCCTGCGGCTGCGCGGAGGATCGACCAAAGGGTCAGTTCCCTGACGGAGTTGACCCGAGCACAGCCTCCGAAGCGCATCCCCAATAGATCGAGCAGTCTTTTGAAACGTTTGAGCTTGAAGAGAGCGACGCAAATCCAGCCGGATACCAATGACGTGCTCCCTACCTATGGACGTCAGCCCTGGCCTCCTCGTCGAAGGGTCTTCATATGTTGTCGGCTCAGGAATCGCGTGGCAAGCTGAGATCTCTGCTGGGGATGAAAAGTTGGTTGAGAAAGCTGCTCCGTTCTGCTGGTGTGAGTTGCTTGTTTTTTTGAATCATTTGCCCCCTCAGTTTGGAAAAGCGAAACCGACTGCACCACAGCGAGACTTGATGGAAAGCATTGAGCAGAGTGTCAAATGTTTTTGAGTGACGATTGTCAGTTGCGGTGGGGTCGCAAGGACATGAGGGAGGACTCCAACAAACGCACTGTTTCCATCCCGGTCGGGATTTCCTCTATGGAATCAGGGAAATGTTACATTCAACCTGTTTGAATGGATATTCATCTTGCCTGGATGTTTGTGAAGCACTCTGGGAATCTATGTTTAGATGCCATTTTGTGTTGAAACCAAAGGCAAAATTATATATTTATGTTTTTCAACAAGCTAAGGGGCTGAGGAGGATATGAGGCTGGGAAGCCTCTAGGCTGGGAAGCCTTAAGGGTTCAAAAGGCTGGGA